CTGACCCCAGTGAGACAATCCCGATCCTGGTGAGGCCACCCCGATCCCAGCCACACAATCCTGATCCCAGAGAGCCCATCCTGATCCCGGTGAGACAATCCCGATCCTGGTGAGGCCACCCCGATCCCAGCCACACAATCCTGATCCCAGAGAGACCATCCTGATCCCGGTGAGACAATCCCGATCCTGGTGAGGCCACCCCGATCCCAGCCACACAATCCTGATCCCAGAGAAACCATCCTGATCCCGGCGAGCTCATCCTGATCCCAGCCAGACAATCCCAATCCTAGCCAGACCATCCTGATCCCAGCGAGCCCATCCTGATCCCAGCGAGCCCATTCTAATCCCGGTGAGCCCATCCCGATCCCAGTGAGCCCATTCCAATCCCGGTGAGCCCATCCCGATCCTAGCCAGACCACCCCGATCCCAGAGAAGTTATCCTGATCCCAGCCAGACCATCCCGATCCCAGGGAGGTGATCCCGATCCCAGAGAGACCATCCTGATCCCAGAGAGACCATCCCGATCCCAGCCAGACCATCCTGATCCCAGCCAGACCATCCCGATCCCAGGGAGGTGATCCCGATCCTGGCGAGACCATCCTGATCCCAGAGAGACCATCCCGATCCCAGCCAGACCATCCTAATCCCACATAGACCATCCTGATCCCAGTCAGACCATCCCGATCGCGGTGAGCCCATCCCAATCCTGGTGAGCCCATTCCAATCCCGGTGAGCCCATCCCGATCCTAGCCAGACCACCCCGATCCCAGAGAAGTTATCCTGATCCCAGCCTGACCATCCCAATCCCAGGGAGGTGATCCTGATCCCAGCCTGACCATCCCAATCCCAGGGAGGTGATCCTGATCCTGGCGAGACCATCCCAATCCCAGAGAGGCAATCCTGATCCCAGAGAGCCCATCCTGATCCCAGTCAGACAATCCCAATCCCAGCAAGTCCATCCCAATCCCAGCGAGTCCATCCCAATCCCAGCGAGACCATCCCGATCTCAAGCAGACAATCCCAATCCCGATGAGACCATCCCGATCCCAAGCCAGAGCATCCCAATCCCAGGGAGGTGATCCCGATCCCAGTCAGACCATCCCGATCCCAGGGACCTGATCCTGATCCCAGGGAGCCCATCCTGACCCCAGCGAGACCATCCCGATCCCAGTGAGGCCATCCTGATCCTGGTGAGACCATCCTGATCCCAGGGAGGCCATTCTGATCCCAGCCAGACAATCCCAATCCCAGCAAGTCCATCCCGATCCCAACCAGACAATCCCGATCCCAGCCAGACAATCCCAATCCTGATCCCAGGGAGACAATCCCAATCCCAGGGAGACAATCCCAATCCCAGGGAGGTGATCCCGATCCTGGCGAGACCATCCCGATCCCAGAGAGGCAATCCCGATCCCAGGGAGCCCATCCTGACCCCAGCCAGACAATCCCGATCCCGGTGAGCCCATCCTGATCCCGGTGAGCCTATCCCGATCCCAACCAGACCATCCTGATCCCACATAGACCATCCCGATCCCGGTGAGCCCATCCCGATCCCAACCAGACCATCCTGATCCCAACCAGACCATCCCGATCCCAGCCAGACCATCCCGATCCCGGTGAGACCATCCCGATCCCAGCCAGACCATCCTGATCCCAGCCAGACCATCCCAATCCCAGCCAGACCATCCCGATCCCGGTGATCCCATCCCACCCATGGCAGGGGGAGTGGGGGGCCCGATCCACCCCCCATATTCCCTCTTTTTCCCTGGAAAAAGCAAGGGAGGGATGGGACGGAGGGATGGGGGGCGGGGGGAAGGAGGCGCCTCTTCCCTCCCTCCCTCCCCTCACTTTTCCTGGGAATAAACATTCCAGAGGCTGCCCGGGAATAAATATTCCAGGGCAGCGCCACCGGGATTCAGCTCCTGAATTCCCTCTGGGAATAAATATTCCAGAGGCTGCCGAGAGCAGGGCAGCACCTTCGGGATTCAGCTCCTGAATTCCCACCGGGAATGGGGGTTCCCAGAGGATCCTGGGGGTGCGGGATCCCGGGAATGCTGAGGGTCCTATCCCTGGAAAATAGGAGCCCCCCGAGGATCCTGAGGGTGCGAGATCCTGGGAATGCTGAGGGGGAGGATCCTTTCCCTGGAAAATGGGGGTTCCCAGAGGATCCTGGGGNCATCCCGATCCCAGGGAGACCATCCTAATCCCAGGGAGGCGATCCCGATCCCAGAGAGATCATCCCGATCCCAGGGAGACCATCCTAATCCCAGGGAGGCGATCCCGATCCCAGCGAGACCATCCCAATCCCAGTGAGCCCATCCTGACCCCAGCCAGACAATCCCAATCCCAGCCAGACAATCCCGATCCCAGCGAGGTGATCCTGATCCCAGCGAGTCCATCCTGATCCCAGCGAGCCCATCCTGATCCCAGCGAGCCCATCCCGATCCCAGTCAGACCATCCTGATCCCAGGGAGCCCATCCTGATCCCAGGGAGCCCATCCTGATCCCAGCGAGCCCATCCTGATCCCAGTGAGCCCATCCTGATCCCAGGGAGCCCATCCCGATCCCAGTCAGACAATCCCGATCCTGGTGAGTCCATCCCGATCCTGGTGAGCCCATCCTGATCCCAGTCAGACCATCCTGATCCCAGCCAGACCATCCTGATCCCAGCCAGACAATCCCGATCCCAGTGAGCCCATCCCGATCCCAGTGAGCCCATCCTGACCCCAGCCAGACAATCCCAATCCAAGACAGACCATCCTGATCCCAGCCAGACAATCCTGATCCCAACCAGACCATCCCCATCCCAGTGAGGTGATCCCGATCCCAGCGAGCCCATCCTGATCCCAGGGAGCCCATCCCGATCCTGGTGAGTCCATCCCGATCCTGGTGAGACCATCCTGATCCCAGTGAGGCCATCCTGATCCCAGTCAGACAATCCTGATCCCAGCCAGACAATCCCAATCCCAGCCAGACAATCCCGATCCCAGGGAGGTGATCCTGATCCCAGCGAGCCCATCCTGATCCCAGCGAGCCCATCCCGATCCCGGTGAGTCCATCCCGATCCCAGCCAGACAATTCCAATCCCAGGGACCTGATCCTGATCCCAGGGACGTGATCCCGATCCCAGCCAGACAATCCCGATCCCAGAGAAACCATCCTGATCCCGGTGAGCCCATCCCGATCCCGGCAAGACCATCCTGATCCCAGTCACACAACCCTGATCCCGGTGAGCCCATCCCGATCCCAGCCAGACCATCCCGATCCCAGCCAGACCATCCCAATCCCAGCGAGCCCATCCCGATCCCAGCCAGACCATCCCGATCCCAGCCAGACCATCCCAATCCCAGCGAGCCCATCCCGATGCCAGCCAGACCATCCCGATCCCAGCCA